AGAGCACGACATCTACCCCACAGAGCACGACATCTACCCCACAGAGCACGACATCCACCCCACAGAGCACGACATCTACCACAAAGAGTACTACATCTAGCAAGCAAACCACGGCATCTACCACAGAGAGCACCACATCTACCACACAGAGCACCACATCTAGTACAAGCGGCTCTTCCGACTCTTCGTCTAGTACAGAAAGTTCTTCATCAACAACACCATCTTCTGCTGTATCCAGTCAAACATCGTTTGGTATTTTACTAGCAGCGATCTTTTATATCAGGTGGATGTAATTTATTTCCAAGTATTTATATCCAATTATTTATTGTAATCATATTTTGTTTTAACGAATAATAATTATTATGTTTATGTTAACTTATAACAGAGGAAGAGAAAAAAGTTTAAAGTACAAAATAAACATTTATAATTTATAGTTATAAGTTTATACTTAACCTTAATTGTATTAATATTTAGCTAGGTAAGTATAACAAAACCTTATTTTAAACAATGCACTAAAACATTTCTTATATAGCAGCTGGTTATTGCACTTTTCCAGGGTGAATTATAAAAACGACCCAAGCCATAATTTCATTACTCTTAAATACGTTAGAATACTTCTTTATCATAATTGAACAGTTTTTTGTTATCAATTGTTGGCTTGTTTTAGATTAAATGAATAAAAAACGTTCTACTTTTTCCACAGCCTACTTTATTTCATTTAATTTTCAAATTGCCTCAAATCAAAAGTCAGTGATGAAAATTAATAGTAAGTGAGCTTGTTAAAAGACAATTTAATAAAGAAGCTAAAAAAATAGCAAATGTATACAAGGTGTTTTATTTAAAAGACTAAAATTGATATTACTTTCGGTAAAACAGGAAGCAGCATTGATTTAGCAAACTGTTCAACTTTGTTCTAAAAAGTATTGTCACATCTTTAAATATAATGGAGTAATGGCTTGGGGCGTTTTTCATAATACAGTCAGTATAATAAATACCCTAACCAATTTCTAGACGCAACCCAAAATACATTCTCAGATACCACTTTGCGTTAATTGATGAATTGTTTGAGATTTTTCAAAGATATAAACATCGATATCTGTGAGAGCTTTGACAGTTTTTATAAATTGGCGTCCCACAATGTACCTTTGACGGTACAAATTTTGCCAAAGCATTTTTGTAGCATTCTCTATATAGTATGTCTCCTGACTGAGTTTACAAGAGGAAAAAAATTGATTTTAAATCAAAACTGCAAAGAAAACACTTTCTTGCTTCATCTGAAACGAGCAAATCTGTACTTAAAACTTCATTATTCTGATTCAGCGAAAAGAGAAGTTAATTTTTCTCTGCTTTTTAAGTCTTATCATTATACAAGGTGATTCAAGAGGAATAATGAGCCTGACCAAATTCTCGATGCAACCACCATTACTTTTTTACTTTGCGATAAATGTAATGTTGGTTGCATCGAGAATTTGTTTAGGCTCATTATTCCTCGTGAATCACCCTGTGTGTATTAGTTGTCACTTTGACAATTAATTTATTAATTAAATAATGATAGTTCTTGTGATAAATGACTTTGGTTTTTATCTTAAAGCTGTTTCTTTGAGTTGCTATTTATTAAAATTATGTTTTTCACAAACATATTTGTTATTTAACTTGCGTAAACTCATTTGTCAAAGTGATCATTGCCAAAATAATAAAACCGCCGATGTGATAGGACTTGAACAGCAGAGAAAAATAAACTTTTCTTTCTACTGAGTTAGAATAATGATGTTTTAATTACCGATTTGCTCGTTTCAGGTAAAACAAAAATGTTTTTCCTTTGCAGTTTTGGCGTAAAGTCAAAGATAAAAAATTGTTTTCTCTTGTAAACTCAATCCGGGGTCATACTGTATATCAAAATCATGTCAGTTCTTTCGTCGTGTGAGTACATTTTGAATGTAATAGGAAAAAATTGGAATTGATGACACTTGACTGTGTCATGAATAACATAACAACTAATTGTCTAAATTTTTCAAACTTAAAAAAACCAAGTTGTTAGATCGGTTAGAGTCTTTATTATAAATTATAAATGACTCACTTTGTTCTCTGATAGTATTGATCACATCTTGACATCTTTGTCAATACTTTTAATAAACATTAATCCATTTTGTAAACAATTATTTATGTATTGTTTTTGAATTTAACGAACCATTTGTCATCATATATTTTTTAGCATTTTAAGGTAAAAAATAGTCTTATAGCTCATTACGTGTTAGATAAAAGTTCTGTCACTCGTCATTCATGTGCAAGGCCAAGTATATAAGGTTCCTACGTTTTGTTTGTGGTATACAATATCACTCACTGTTAATTTCATAGAGGTAAAAGTACCTAATAAAATGAAGCAGATTTTGGTCTTTTTGTTAATTTTGGATTTAAGTGAGTGAGTTGTATGTGGTGTTAGTTTGTTTATTGTGGAATTTAAGGTTTATCTCAAAGATGTCCAGGCTGTAAAGATTACTACTGTTTAGAAGACATTTGGAAAGATTGTCCTCAAACACTGGTCAATTCAAATATCACAAATATAAGCAATGCAAGCATTAATTGTATTACTGTGCAGTACATAGAAGGTGATTAAAAATTCTTTTATACACACACATTTAAGCTGTTTTTTTATTTAAAGCTGAACAAGATTATCGCCAATTGAAAGACTGTGTTATTGGAAGGGAAGAAGAAAATTGTGAATTATTTTACCAAAAGTATGGAATACAAAATGTAAATTGTACAGTCATTCCACCATTTTTTAATATTCAATCTTCTCTAAATCAATCAGAAAAAAATGACCTCACAAACAGCACTGCAAATCCACTATTACCTCAAGGTTTAAATTTAAATCTAAGTGGTAGTAGTCCATATTTGAATTTAAATTTAAGTTTATTTCTAAATAATAACTCAAATAATAGTTTGGTTTTAGATCCCAATTCTAGCATTAGTTCTAGTGAAAGTCTCAGTTATAGTTACGATGAAATCCCTAATCTTAGTTATTTAAACCTTAGTTTTTCGTCAAGGTGGAATAGTAATTTAAGTTTTAATTCAACAGAAGATTTTAGTAACTCGAGTTCAGACTTAAATTATGGTTACTATAGTTTAAGTTTTAATTCAACAGAAGTTTCAAGTGACGCGAGTGAAGATTCAAGTAACTTGAGTTTAGATTTAAGTTACAGTTATGATTTAATTCTAGAATCAAACTCAAGTTTTTATTTAAACGAAAGTGATTTTTTGCTTTCTAATTCTTATCCTATTATTGCCGCTGCAAATCCAGTTCCAATTTACAATTTTTCTTTAAATCAAAATCTAAATTTTACTTCAACAGAAGAAGATACCAGTTCTGATTTAAGTTATAGTTATGACTTGAATTCAAATTCAAACTTTAATTTAACTTTCAATGAAAATGAGTTTTTGCCTTTAAATTCCGACCCTGTTATCATCAGTTCAAACCCAGTTTTAAGTGATAGTGGAAACTTAACATCGACAGAAGATAATTTAAGTTTTAATTACGACTTTGAATTGAATTTAAATTCAAGCTTAAATTTAGTTTCGAATGAAAATTATTCTTTGTCATCTAATTATGATCAAATTGTCATCAATCCAAATATTACTTCATACCAAAATTCAAGTTTTGGTTCGACACATTTAAATCTAGATCTAGAACTAAATCCAAATCTAGATTTGGATGTTAGTAATAATATTCTATATCCAAATCAAGCTGATGTTAAAAATGTCACTAACCATAGTTCTAGCACAACAAATTTTACTGATCCTTCATTTAGCTCAAGTTTAGAGTCATTTTTAGACCCTAATTTAAATCAATCATTGACTCCTAATTCAGAAATAGATGTAGATTTAAACTCAGGTTTGCAAAATTTGGAACAAGCAAATAGTACAGATAGTTTGATTCAAACAACTATTTCAAATTTAAGTATTAATAACAGTTTAAGTTCAAACCTTGAAATTTCTACATTTTCCTCGAATACTAACCCAACGATTATTAGTTTTTCGTCCAACACGATCCCCAGCTCAGTTTCTGATGCAACATTTTTCTCAGAAAGTCCTGGTTCTGTTTCAAGCACAACTTCTAATTTAACAGATCTTGACACAGATGGTAATCTTACTTTGTCTTCAGACCCAATTTTTAGTTTTAGTCCATATCAAGACTTACTTTTCAATTTTAGTTTTCGTCCAACTTCTAGCGTTTTTACTTTTGACAGTATTGAACCGGGTGTTACATCACCCTCTAATTCAAATGAAAATAATAGTTTTGGGTTAAATCCAAACTTTACGATTTCTAGTTTTTCTTCCAATACCGACCCGACAATTAATCTCCCATTTTTCACTTCAACAACTGATTACTCCGAAACAAGTTCTAGTTCTGTTTTAAGTTTTGATTTTGAGTCAGATAATTTAAACTCTTCAAGTCCAACTTTGGCTTTGGATCCAAATAATTACAGTTATAATTTTAATCAGGATTCTACAGTTAGTCCGAGTTTTACTTTTGATAAAAATTATTCTTTAAATTTCAATTCAACTTCTAATATTTTAGGTATAGCTGATACTTCCAGTTCCAACAACTTTGAATCAAGTACTACACCTTTAAATTCTAATATTAATTTTAACTTTAGTTCGAATAACAATTTAGATTTAATTTCTAGCTCTTCTAATCTAACTGGAAGTTCCGATATTAATTTTAGTAGAACATCAAATTTTGACAATTTTACTCAAAGTTCAAATCCAACATCAGATTCCAATGTAAGCTTTGTTTCCAGCATATCTCCAACACAAACTATTGAACCAGTTTTAAGACCTAGTTTTGGTACAAGACCAAGTTTCTTGAATCAAAATTCAGGTTTGACTTCAACTCCAACTACACGGTCTAATTCAAGCTTTAGAATTGACCCTAACATCAATTTTAACATTCCTTCACGTTCTAATTCAAGCAGAAGTAACTTTACTTCGAACACAACTCCAAGTCTTTATTCTATTTTGAGAAACATTTTCAGTTTTAATTTTAGTACGACCCCAAGCACAAACTTTAATAAAAAATTGAATGAAACTTTTGGCCCTCGTCCTACGAGTCCTAGCTATACATCACGTGTTAAAACAGGTTTTACTTTTAACTGGATTCCTGATAGACACTTTATTCCCACTCCAAGTATTAACAACGCTTTAAAAACTACATTTAAACCTAAAAAATCAACTTCCCATATTAACCCAGAGCTGAAACCAAGTCCAGATTCTGCAAGCGGTAACACTGTTAACTTAATCATAGAAATTCTAATTTTGTTCCTATCTATTTTTGAATTGTATTAATTTATTTATATGCCATTATACTAATAATAGATTATTATTAATATAAATAAAATACTTTCTTTGTTTTAAAATTTGTTACGAAATAAGTATTTTTTTTACTCTATATTTGTAAATATACTTTTGTATCTGTACTCATATTGTAATAATTATCGCCAATTAATTTAAAAATTGTATTAAAGATAATCTTTTCTGGTCAATCGACTTTTCAGCTCTCGATGCACGCAATGCACGTATTGAATTCTGGGGTGAACAAACTAGTTTTCATTCGAAAATCATGCAAATGAGACGCAATGACCACCGTCTCTTGCATTGTGGTTACAACTCTAGTGGTTGTGTCTTTAGCTAATTTAGTACTTTTAGTGCACGTGATTATGAATTCAATCTACAAATGTAATCAAAATCGAACATATTTAAAACGAATTGCAAAAATTCAAAAACGCGAAGACTCATCTTTTCAGGATCAAGAATTTAAAGTGACAACAAACAATTTTGTTGCTGCTTTAATCGTCGAAATTGATGGTGACAGTTTTGAATTTGTGTGTGGTGTGGCTATTGTTGGTAAAAAATGGGCTCTAACACCAGCGCATTGTGTGGATTCTATTATAGATCAACCTCGAATTAAAACTAAAGTTTCTTCTAACACTTTGAAGCTGAAGTATGGAATTTGGTACGACATTGATAAGATGATAAAACACCAAAATTATAAACCTAATCAGCATGTAAACGACGTAGCTTTGATAAGTGTGAAGCAACCGTTTAAAGAAAAAGAAGTTAAAAGTGTTATTCTACCGACTAAAAATTATTTATACGTTGCTGAATCTACAGCGACTGCTGTTGGGTGGGTTAGTCAAGAAGTGTTTGCAATAGATTTGAAATTGCTTCCACACAAACACTGTCAAAGCGTTTATCTCGAAGGTATCACAAATGGTACTTTCTGTGCCGAAAAGAAAGCTTGTGTTTATGATCATGGAGGGTTCTTAATTCAGAAAGGGGTGTTGATAGGCACTGTTTCTTTTGGAATAGGATGTACTTCAAAACCGATTGTTTATACGAAAATTTCTTTATTTGAAAATTGGTTTAAACATCAAAAAATTGGAGCAGTTTTTAAAGGAAGTACTTGATTTACATATATCTTACATTATGTGTTCTATTTACAACAAATAAAATTTTAAATAATAATTATTGTTGTTTTATTATAAAAAACTCTTGTTGTTGAAAACAAATTGTTTTCACCGGTTCCTATAAAATTCTAGTGAATTAATGCTAAGGTAGGTATTTAGTAAAAGCTCACACTTACAACATTTGCTATTATTTTTCCTCCAATAAAATAATGTATGTATTAAATTGATAAAAGTAAAGCTAATAGTTAACAAAACAAGAAAACAAAACAGTATAGAAAATATATTACCTTCAAATTATACATGATGTTCCCTTTTTATTGTTACAAATTTCAACAGGAGATAGAATATTCAATTTTAAGACAAAAGTTTTGAACATGTGTCGAAAAATGCTAATGCAAGGAAGCTTCACCCCCTCAAAGGGATGCGTTTTTTAATGGGTTTATACACCTTTATACACCTAAACGAATTCTAAGATAAAATGTTAAAATTTTTAATCAGGAGTTTCCTAAAATGATTGGCTCTCGAGTAAAAGTACTATTTGGGCTGTAGTTTCTTACCATTTTCAGCAAAAAAATTCTAAATTTTATAATTTGTCATAAAAAAAGTTTTTTGTGTGTTTCCGATACAACTTATCGATCTTGAGTAAAAACAAAAGCCATAAACAGCATAAAAATTACATTCGTTTTACCGTTTAGAACGCCTCTGATTAACATTTCATCTTGAAAATTGGAATTCGTTGAGGTGTATAAAGGTTATCAGCTGAATCAAATTTTCCAATTTTATCTATTCTAAAATATTGGGAAAAAGACTTTAAAAAACGCACTCCTAGGCGATCTTTTACATAGTATTTTTCAAAACATGTTTATAGGAAACCGTTATCTTAAATTAGGAAACATCACGTGAAAATAGACGACTCACTTAAAGTACTTAAGATTTGGAAAATAAAATTAGTCTTTACAAATAGAAAGTAAATAATAATTATAACATTAAAACAAAAGCAAATTAACCAAATTATTTAATAATTATTAAGAGTCATTTAGTAATTTTTGCTATAACATTCTACTTTGTGAATAAACTTTTACGTTGTGATTACTGAATTTATATTTTAAAAGAATAGCTTTATGATTCATATTTTTCTTTTAATTATCTAGCACCTGTAGCAGTATCAGATAAAGCATTTATAAAAATAAAGAACTTGCCTATTTAAGGAGCTAGAGTAACAGCTAGTGGTGTAGTTCCAATTGTTTAATTGTTTGACATACTTAATAAGTTGTTTAACAATTTCAACAAGATGCGTTTGGTGTTTGTGTTTTTGTTAGCTTTTACTCTAAACTTTAGTAAGTTTTTTAAATTATTATTTATTTTAATAAATCTATACCTCAGGGCAAAACAGTATTAACCACCAAAACAAAAAAAATTCTTTAGAGCACTTATAAAACTATAATTTTGTTTAAATGTTTGTTTTATTCATAATATTCAACTTAGGCTTCCCCAAAAATTTATCAAATGGAAATAAAAGAGCTTTATAACTTACAGGTAATTTACTGGCTGTTTAACTATGTACATAAAGTCAAATTTAAAAACTGGAGTTAATACAATTTTGCTCTGAGGTACAGAAAAATATAATTTGTAAATACATGTATGTATATGTATATATTTAAAAAATCATAGAACTCAAACAAAAATGATCAATTTATTGTTTTAGGTAACGCTTTAAAATGTCCTACTTGCGTAGGAAAAAAATGCGCCGACCAAGAAACTGTTCCATTTAAAGAATGTCACCATCATGGTTTAAATCCAATTGAGTCGGATGTTCTCCCAAAATATGGTTGCTTAGAATATCAGTACATTAAGAGTAAGAAGTTAAGATATTGTTGTTTTTGTTTTATTTTAAATTTGATTCAATTATTTTCAGATGGAGAAACCGTAGACGTTAAAAGATGTGCTAAAATAAATTTTCAAAAAAATGCGTGTGATGACATGAAGAAGAGGGTTGAGATAAAAAACTGCAGCGTTAAGCCATCGCCGTCTCCATCGCCGTCTCCATCGCCGTCTCCATCGCCGTCTCCATCGCCGTCTCCATCGCCG